TTTTTTTTTTTTTTGAATGGTTATGACGAGTTTAATGCCTTTTCAATTAATTGATCAACAATTGAATTATCTTTAAATTTCTAGTTATACTAGACAAGAAAGAGAAATTATAGCATGTAGTAACAATCACTGTAAGGTTCAATAAGGGGTAAAGACGTACAACCATGTCTTGCATTATCTTATGAATGTTCTTCAGATTTCATGCATCCTTACATATTTATATCCTTAATAGAAATATACCAGGGTCATATTTGAGGATATTTTTATAAAACAAATTTGAAATATTGAATTTTCAAGTCTGAATAAGTGTTGATCTCTAAATAATGAAATTGATATTTAGATGGAGAAAATAGGGAGATGAGAATTTGGATTGTCATTGGGTCTCTCGAAGAACTGTAAGGAGTTATGGAACATATTTATCACGTTCGTCCTTAAATGAAAGTTTGCTTGCCCGAATATTTTATAAGTTTTGATGCTTGATCGATCTCTACCACTAGTGGAACCATGCATTCTCACATTAATCTCTCGTTTCATTATTCACAGCTACAACCAGATGTATTGCACTCTCATTCACTACACTGACAACCAGATTTCGAATATTTTCTAGCACTGCAATGCTAAAAGGTTGATCAAAATCTAGCAAGTGCACAATGTCATAGATAAGTAATAAAATAGTGGATTAAGTATCAACCTGTGTACACTATGTACTTAATCTAGTTCCAATCAATGCCACCTCTAATGTAATAGCCAAGTTTTTAGGATTATTCTATAACTAATCATCTAACTTAATAACTAGAGAGCAATTAAGAAATCTTTTGCAAACTTGATTAAAACACACTCTTAAGACCTTTTTGAATCCCATTATTAATCCATTTTGATATAACTCGACATCAAGAAAAGATTTATTTAGTCTTGTTGATCCTATTCCTAATTCGTTTAATAGTCTCTCTAGCGTAGATTTGAACTTATCATCTCATATAACATTCCTATATATTTATATAAAAGATGCTAACATTAAGTAATGCATTAAAACATTAGAACGCCTATTGATATCAAATAAAGCATAACGGCGCGTGTGTGTCTGTGTGTCAATCAAACATCACAACAATTGTTATAACGTGCTATCTTTCATATTATTTCTCTCGAACATAACAAAAATAATACATCAATCCTATTAATGATTAAGGAATTGAAATATTAAAGTCTATAAAAATCATCTAAGATAAACAAATATCGATCATCAAAATATTGAAATTAATATTAAATCTTTAAAACAAGGGTTCACCTATGTCTTAGCGACAAAAAATTTAACCTGAAATTACAATGGTATAAGAAATCATTATTAGATTATAAGATATCGCCCGGATTTGAGATGTTTATAGAAAGAGATGAAAAGCCTTGAAATCTTGAATCTCTATCTTCCTTGACCAATATCCAACTACGTATTCTTCTTCTTTGTCCAAAAACTAAGAAATAATCTTAAAATGATTTACTTCTTGTGTCTTGCCACTAGATTTCTCCCAAAAGAATGATATATTGTTTCTTTTGTCTACCAAAATTTGTGTATTGTATGGTATGAGCGATCCCCTTTGTTGTAGGCTCAAGTTTTGTGCTTACAGAGGATGATATTAGGTCAAAATTCACCTCCAAATGGTTGCCATAAAGAGTTTGAATCAGATACGAAAACTATCCAATCTGTCAGATTTTGTGCTGTGTAATCTCCTTGTACTGGGTTATGATCGCGACAAAGTATAGTTGTGTGTTCTGTTGATGCCAGACAACCCCTTGTTAATGGAAAGAGGGATTTTCTGTTAGTTTACAGTTTGGCCCTTACTTTTTTTCCTCTTTTTATCTTGAGTCATTTTGACTTGTAGTGTTAGTTTTTCATCTTCTAAATTCACCCCAAGTTGATATTTATAATCTTCAATCATAATCTCTGTGTCTAAATCAACTTTTAAGAATATGCGATTTAGTCATGAACTTTGAAATTCTTCCTTTTTGCCCCTCTTTTGCCAATTTCCACTTCTTTTCGTTGAAAATCATCCAAACCTAAATATTTCCTTGAACAATCGATATTTAAACAAATTAAGTAGTAATTTCGTCAATTTGACTTTTAAACACTCACTTTTGATGGTCCGGATGGGTGTAAAAATTTTACTTATCATCAACCTTAGTAAAGCATGTTAAAAGATTATGATATTAGTATTCACTTGGTATAATTACTCTCTCTCTCTCTCTCTCTCTCTCTCTCTCTCTCTCTCTCTCTCAATATGGGAAGGAGAAACTTTGACTTCTATTCTGGTCAAGAGCAGTAGCGGATTCAGGTGGTGGCCATCTAGAGCAACCGCCCTACCTGGATTCGTCGAAATTGCCAGGCGCCGCGCTAACTGTGATGACAAATTTCACCCCCTGCGCCTGGCTCTGTCTGTGATACTGTTGGGCCTTTTTTTTAAGTTAGGCTGGCCTAAATCACCCATAGTTAAAAAACCAAATTACTTACCACAGCCACTACCAGAGGCAGAGGTTCAGTCGTCCAAATTTCATAATCGATTTCTCTTTTCCCCCAATTCTTGATTTCCTTTCCATCAAAACCAGCAACCAGAGAGATCAAAGAAGAGCAAACCCTTCTTCAGTTCTTCCCCCCTAATTCCTTCCTGCCAAATCGGTCATCTGAGTTTACTGATTGAGCTAGTAGCAGTGCACCGCATGAATGGTGAACCCACTGTCCACTGATGAGAATTGTGAATTTATGATATCATTTCAATTTCAAGTACGATGTTTTTCCTAGCATGTTGATTGTTTATGTTTAATTATTGGTTTTTTTTTAGTAATATGTTATGCTCTGCACCTCTGCCTCTATTTGATTTGTATTGATTTTTAGGGTTTTGAATTGCTTCAGCTTCGAGGCTTATTTATTGTTTGGGGATTTTGTTGAAATTGGTTTTATTGTGATGTTTTCAATTGAGCGGTTTATAGATTTGCAGTACTTTTATCTGTAAATAATCTTGTCCTTTTAATTTATGTTTTTATGAATTGGTTTTATTGTGATGTTTTCAATTGAGCGGTTTAGAGATTTGCAGTACTTTTATCTGTAAATAGTCTTGTCCTTTTAATTTAAGTTTTATGAATTGGTTTTATTTTGATTCAAGTTTTTATGAAATGTTTATGGCTTTTAAAAAATGGTGGAAAGTAATGGGAGAAACGGGCTCAATAATGAAAGTTTCTATTTTTACACCGAACCTATGGAGCTAATTGAATTGTTGATTTGTTGATTTGTCTAGATATGCTCAATCCAAACTTGAATGTTGAATTGTTGATTTTTTAATCAATTCTAATTGAAAATTAAATTGGGGCATTTTGCAGATTATGGAACGATTTTTTCAACCGAAATGAAAGTCTATACCTAGTTCTCCTAGTTCTAGTTGTGTTTCTAGTTCTAGTAGTGTTTCTAGCCAAGCACACAAGTTGTTAAATGACACAAAGAATTCTTAGGCTCAATTCAATGTGGATGATATTGTATCTGATCCAGAAAAACGTCCCCCTATCGAGTCATATAATCCTAATATCAAAGATGATGTTAGGATGATATAATTGGAAAAAGGTCATTGTCAACCACATGGGCATGACTTTCCAAGAGAACGGATGGGAAATGATAATATGTGTTTTCGAAAAGAATGGTATTCTAAATTTTATTGATTGGAGTACAGTATAGAAAATGATGCGGCTTATTGTTTGCATTGCTACTTGTTCAAACCTGATAGAGGGGATCAATTGGGTGAACATATATTAACTAAGACCAGCTTTAGGGATTGGAAGCACAAAAATATATTGAAATATCATGTCGGGCTCATTGATAGTGCTCATAATCAAGCTTCTTCAAAGTGTACCAACTTGATGAATCAAAAACAAAATATCTCCTATGTTATTTCTAACCAAAGTTTTAGTCAACAAAAAAGTTATAGGACAAGGTTGATTGCAGTGCTAGATTGTACTAGATTCCTCTTAATGCAAGGATTGCCATCTTATGGTCATGATGAATTGAAAGTCTCTCTTAATAAAGAAAATCTATTGAGCTACTAAATTGGTATGCAGCTCGTTGCAAGGAAATTAATGAAGTAGTATTTAATAATGCACTTGGAAATGACTAAACAACTTCACCAAGCATCCATAAGGATTTAGTTAATTGTTGTGTTGTAGGGACGACAAGGTCTATTTTCAATTTAGTTGATGAGGCTCGTGATAATTCTATAAAAGAACAAATGACAGTTGTTTTAAGGTATGTTGTCAAAAGTGGCAAGTGAAGGAGCGTTTGTTGTGCATTTCCCATATCACTAATACTTGTGCCCAATCACTCAAGGATGCCATTGATGCAATATTTTCTACACATGGGTTGAACATATCTAGCTTGAGAGGTCAAGATTACGATGGAGCAAGCAATATGTCAAGTGAGTTCAATAGCTTAAAAGCTTTAATTTTAAAAGAGAACTCATATGCTATGTATGTTCATTGCTTTGCTCACCAGCTTCAGTATACACTTGTTTCTGTGGCACATAGGAATGTTATGCTTGGTGATTTATTTAAGGTGCATCATGTAAACGTGTAGGTGCTCTTCGAACAAGTTATCATTCTGAAATTCTGGAGAGGCTTCATATTGGGGAACTTTCTGGTAGAACTGGTCAGTTTCAAGAAATGATTTTGACACGCCCAGGTGATACTAGATGGGGCTCACATCTAATGATAATTACTCGATTTATTAGTATGTTTAATGCGATCATAGATGTTATTGAGAATATATCAGAAGGCGGCATAAGTTTAGATAAAAAATCAATGACCGTAAGACAGATGGATACTATACAAGATTTTCAGTTTGTGTTCAGTCTTCTTTTTGTGTTTGAAATTCTTGCAATTACATACAACCTTTCACAAGCCTTGTAGAAAAAGGATCGGGACATTCAGAATGCTATGAGGTCATTGAAGTTGTGTTAGTACACATTGCAGAAATGAGAGACAATGGTTGGGATACTTTGTTGAGTAAGGTGATTGAGTTTTGTGTTAATAAACATATTTCAATGCCCAATATGAAGGATATTGTAGTATTGAAAGGTCGACCTATGCGTTCAACTCAGCAAGTGACTTATTATCATTGCTTTTATGTTGATTTGGATTGTTATGTAATAGATTCAATCTTACAAGAGTTGAATGATCCTTTTTTTCTAGAAACAACTACCGAGCTTTTTACTTGCATTTCGTGTTTAAGTCCAAGAGATTCATTTGCAGCTTTTGATGTATGTAAATTGCAACGTCTTGCTCAGTTCTATCCTTCGAATTTTAATAGTGAAGAGCTTTTATTACTTAGACCTCAACTTAACAAGTTTCTTATGCTTATGAGAATAGACGAAGCTTTCTTCAACCTCAAAAGCTTATCTTGTATAGCTTAGAAGTTGGTTGAAATTGGAAGTTCTTGTTATTTTCCATTGGTTTATAAACTGATCACATTGGTTTTAATATTACCTATGGCAACTGTAAGTGTTAAAAGGATATTCTCTACTATGAATCTAATCAAGAATGACCCGCACAACAAAATGAGAGATAAATTGTTGAATGACAATTTGGTGGTTTACATGGAAAAAGATCTTTTTATAAAACTTAAGAATGAGGCAACATTGAAACGTTTTCAAAATATAAGACCCCATAAAATTAAGTTGTCTAAGTTTACAATTATAGAGTAAGGTTGTATTGTATATTTTTTTAGCATGTTGGGTTGTATTGAACTATATTTTCATATGTATATAATTTCTACGTTTTATTGCATTTACATATATATATTGTATAATTTTTAATATTATTTAATCAAATTTTAATAAATAATCGGCTGCCGACTGGATCAGGTTTTTATGATCGTTGATTGTCTACGGCCAACAGTCAAAGTCAACCTCCGTCCTAACTGAACATTGATGCTAGATTCGCCCCTAGTCAAGAGACGCATATGAGCTATCTTGGTTCAAAAAAGTATAGAAAACAGAATATTGTAATAATATGGTCTGAATGCTATTGAAAATTTGATTTCAGAATAGTAATTCCAAGTAGACAAATAATAGAATTAAAAGAAATTCAAGAAGAAGTGCACATTTCAAAGTTTTCTATTTTCGACAAATTGTTTTGCCTTGTGGAATCCAGAATTTGTGCCAATATTTGCAAGTTATGGTAACTAGCCAATCGAGTTTTAATCGAATAAGGTTATTCATAACTAGTGGTGATGATTATTAGTTTAGGTTGTAGTGGTTCGCCTTATTCATTACTGAATGGAGTAATGTATTGAACAATGAATTGGAGAGTCCACCACCACTTGGATGATTATGAGCAAAAATGTGCTCATGAATAACATTATTCATTTTTAATCATTGTTTATCAAACTAGCTTTTTCAACGTAAAGTGCAATAATTTATTGGCCTAAAATGGGCTGTGCGGCAAAGATTCACAATGATCACCCTGTAAACCGATCAAATCAAAACCAGCCGAACTCAATATCGGCGAATTCGCGTGTTGATCCAAGATAATAGATGGATCTTGCTGGCCTTGATTGTTTAGTTCAACGCCTCACAAGAACCGTCTTGACTGATCCAGCTAAATTTGATCCAGATATAGGGCTTTGGTGAGGTAGAACAAGACCCAAACTGTGCAAGGTAGTTTACATTATAAGATTTATCTTGAAATTGGTATGAAATCTGTCCTACATTTTCGGCTCTATCCATAAGTCGAACATTTCAAATCTATATTTAACAGGACCTGTTGTGTCATTCAAAGGGTTATCTAATGTGAAATAACATAGTGTTGGAATTATGGGATATTTTTATAGTTGTGAATTGGAAAAATCTCCAATCGGTGCGATGACTAATCACGTCAAAGAGTTTTGTTGTTTTAGAATGGGTGTGACCTTGTGATAGGATACAATCCATACCATTAAAATTGAAATGGTGCGATCTAATGGTTAAAATTGATTTGTGCCAAAAGATGCAACAATTCGAAGAGACACATGAAAATTTACAAATAGAGACCTTTAGTTCTATTTTCTCCTACTCCAAATCAATTTCATATAATTGATTTCTAATTCCTTCTCTTAATTATGTCAAATAATTTCCTAATGATTGTAGAAGCGTACGGTCAAGCTTTGGTTCACTCATCAAAATTAATACTGTACTATATTAATTTTGGAAGAAGCGTAGTACCTTGATAGATTTGCATCATTTAAATTGTTAGCACCGATGTAGATGACAAAATCCGTCCTAAAGACATTTGCATTCGCATACCTCACTTCATTTCATCGCGTTATTATTTGTACGTGTCAATAAGTCATTTTCCTTATCTTTTATGTACATATGGTGTTTTCAATAACTTGTTACTCTATCGGTATTTGCATGCACTTATGTTTGGTTAAAGGAATATAGATGGTGTTTGGTTGGGATTAAATTTAAATTTTTTAGTAAATTTTAATAGAAATTTTTGAAATGTATGATTGAAAAGTTATAGAACCCATAAAAAAAGTGATTAATATTGATTATTTAACTTTGACTCAAAATAAAATTTGAGCGAAACAAGAACATAACTTGTGCACAATTTATCCAACACATAATATCTTGTTATGTTCTAGATGCTTGATATGAACAAATAAATGAGGATAAGATCATTCACTTTCGTTAAATGATTAAAAATAAACGCAAAAGAATAACGTGTATAGTGGGTCATTTTAAAAAACTAGTACATGGTCGAAAATCACATTTAAAAAGTGAAAATGAAGCATTAAAGTCTTGGGTGAGTAAATATTTTATAGAGATTAAAAAAAAAAAATTGAATTCAATATGTACGGCGATAAAAGTCTTGTACGAGGGAGACCTTAGTGCAAATTTTGAGCTTAAATATAAATATTGGAAATTTTTGTATCTACATCATTACAAAATAAAATTTCAAAATTTACTGTGGCATTTATAATTCAAGTAATACTTTGTGATATGGTAAATATTTTAAGAAATACTATATACCAAATATAGATCAAACAGTCTTTGCAACTGATTTTATTATTATTTATTTATTTATTTATTTATTTATTTATAAATGCCACTAGGAATAGGATTAAGCTGGTCATTCAATATCCTTTCAAAATCAACACATACAGATTCAAAAAATAAAAATTAGACAAACCAATACATACAGAATTCATTCTTATCATTTAGATTTCGGAATTGTCACAAAATTCTTTATGCCATGAAGATCAATTTTTTCTGCCCAAGTTATGGATTTTGGACATTGATATGTGTTCATCAGGTTATTAGTCAAACCGATGATATTCTGGTTCGACTGGTCATGCTCTATGCCCAGTAAGATAGTTTTCATCACCTTTTAAAAAACTTGATAAATAATTCTTTTATTGAGACTGATTCATAATCATGTATATGTGTATACATAATCAAATTAGTCACTGCGTCGCTCGGATGATGTAATATTACAATCACATTTGATAGGACAGATTGGATACCTATAGAGACCTCAGGTTCATGCCTCTTTTATTCCGTCAAGGCTTAGCCCCTTTTTGGGCTCCATTATAATTAGTTTTTAGTGAAAATGTATTTTAAAATAGAATAATGGAAATTACAGAAATCCCGATATTTGGAAATCCCAGTACAAGAGTCAGGCTCAAAAGTTTGTTATGCAAATCTCAGGTTTTGATTTAATTATTATATATTTAAATATTAAATTATAATTTAATCTTTAAATGATATGTATTGCAACTGACACGGGTTTCCTTAAATATCGCAATTCGAATTTTAATTCTCTTAACTTCCATAATAATCCATTTCATCTTTCTCCTACTCTCTTTCTCTTTCTATCTCTCAATCCTTTACACGTCTCCTCGCAAATACACACAATTCCAAACTTCCCAAAAGTTTTTCCCCAGGATTGTAATCCGTTCGTTGATTCCACTTCCAGTAATTTAGAATACACTCTTTTTCAACACTATCATTTTATCATCAGCATCGATCATATCACTCGATATATAATAGTAGTGCTTTTGGTCATAGATTTAGTTTGTCATACCATATGTAAATAACAGGTCATATATCATATGTATAGCAAGTCACAAATTTAATATGCAAAATAGATCATACCAAAAGCAGGTCACAGGTCACATTGTTCACTGGAAATCGGGTCACAGTTCGTGTGTTTTATTAAATATGTGGTCACATATGGTCTAACACCACAGGTCACATCTAATGGTCTGTATGGTTGGTCACAGATTTGGTTTGCCATGCCATATGTAAATACCAAGTTAAATATCATATGAATAGCAAGTCACAGATTTTGTTTGCAAAACAGATTATACTAACAGCAGGTCACAGGTTCACTGTGTTCACTAGAAATCAGGTCACAGTTCATGTGTTTTATTGAATATGTTGTCACATGTGATTGTCTAACACCACAGGTCACATCTAATGGTCTGTATGATATATGTGTTCACGTATACGTTTGTTCCTCAACTTCGGATCACATATCACGTTTTTTATTGAATAAATGGTCACATAGTTTTTGCATCACACCACATCTATTGTAGAGCATGTTTCAGGTTACATTTATCTTATCCAACTGACTAGAGAAACAATGTGAAAAGCAGGTCACAGTTCATGGTGTCCATTCAAAAGTAGGTCACAGATCACGTTTTCTACTAAACAAATGGTCACATATTTTTTGCCTCACACCACATCTATTGTGGACCACGTTTCAGATCATATTTATCTTATCCAAGTGACTAGAGAAACCATGCGAAAGCATATCACAGTTCACACTTTTACTCAAAAGCAGGTCACAGTTCACGCTTTTAATGGAATATATAGTCTCATATGTGCGCCTAAAAACACAGTTCAAATGTATTGGTGTGTATGGAATAGATGTTCACCACATTTCACCAAATCGATTCCCAAACCTGTGACACAAAACCATCAATGTTGATGAAATCAATTAATTTGTACTAATCGTGAATGTACACCATCACCTGATTTTTTCTTCTTCGACAATTGAAATAGGTTTCTACATTGAAAATCTGAAATTATGCTGGATATTAATTTTGGATGATGATTTTGTAGTATCCTGCTATAGAAGAAAACTACGCTTGATTATAAGAAACCAATGTATATATATATAGACAGGAAATATTAGGCTTCTAACCTTAAGCCAAATATAGTAAGGGAATTTTGATATTGGTATGATGTTATAAGTTTTGCTACATATGAAATAGCATTTCTTAGACAAAAAATAGAAACACCATATTTTCAATTGTAATGGTTTAAACATCACTTAATAATTAGTTGTGTTAAACCATTTATCATCATTTCAACTAACATTTATCAAGTTTGGGATGAAGATTCAATAGCATTGACAAAGCATACCG